CAATCAAACTCCCCCAAGCTCCCGGAGGATCGTTGGTGCCAGAAAATGTGCACCAACGATCCTCCGGAAAAAAAGCGAGTGTTTGTAAGCGTTACGACCGATATTTCCAGATGGATGAAGGCGGATACGAGGTATGTCCTGATATGACACCATCACAATTGGAAAGAGCTAAAAACATGGATGATGGCGCAGCTTGTAATCAGTTAATGACGGTATTGTAAGAACGTCGATTCGTCGTTGAGCATGTTCACTCTAATGCCATTGGATACTTCATTTTCATCAATGCTGTATCAATTCTCATAGCATCTATATAAATTCTTGAAGTGCAGTGTTTTTCCGCTCATTGAACTCCTTAAATCAAAGTCTTCCTGGATGTGATCACTCGAAGTCACAAATCCCACAAACAAATCGCTTTTCCCCAGGCTCAAACGCAAAAGAATGAATCAAAGGCCGCATTCATACTTCGCGTCGACCGACGGGCGACCGGCTCGGGCGTTGGCGTCGATTATCACGCGATCGATAGCTCATGAGACATACACTTCGACTTTGCGACTTGAACGCTTTCAAAGGACCTGGAGATTCTTGTTCATGTTCGCGCGGGTCAACGATCAAGTGAGATATTGATCGATAGGCGACGGGCAGCTGACGCTCGCTGCTCGCTGCCGGCTGCCCGTCGCCCATTGGCCATGGCAAGTATAAATGCAGTCGCAGTGGGTCGCGGGGAAATACTTGCTCCCTGCCTTTGCTATTAGACAGCTGCAAACTTAGAAATGGTCTCTAGCCCTATAATAAGACTGAAAAAACACTTGGGAGACAGGAATCAAAAAAGGTCAAATGACCTTCTAAGCTCTGAATCAAATGGGTAAAGAAAATGGTGGCTGTGAAAGTTTTATTCCGGGTGCAAATTGTTGAAGAGTAGTAATGGAGTAGTAATTGTTGTCTGACATTGATTATACATTGCTCTCGCTGGTCAACATGACGACAGAGTTTCGATTTGGGAGGTATTTGAAATACAACGAGTAACAAGGTATAAATCATTAAATCATCATCATTATCGTCATCATCATCATATCATTATCATATCATCATCATTATTATGAATGAATGAACGAGAACGAACGACGGTTTACGACGGCGAGAGGAAGGCAGGAAATGTACAGTAGGTAAGCATGACGGAACCGAGGAGTGATGCTGATGGTGAAGGTAGGTGATGAGGAGGCATTGGCGGTCTAGAGCTCCCATTTTTGAGGGCGCGGAGGCGTTAGAATTTGGAGGTGTGTGGGGAGAGCGCTCTTGGAGGGCGAGGAGTTTCTGTTGTTGTTGTTTTTTTTTAAACGAGGATGAAGAAAAATTAATTGAACAGCATAAAAGTAGTAGTTATTGTGGTGTGATTTTTGAGAACAACGCATAGAGAAAGAGCATTGAAAGTCTCGGATGAAGCCGACATAGCAGAGTCACACACATATTACATTAGAATAGAACGACAAGTAATCATCTTATTATGCCAAGCAACGAAAGTCTTGACCAGGAGTACCATGGAGGGAGTAAGAAGCCGACTATACCGAGTTTAAAATACAGTAGTAGTGTAGAGTAGTAGAACTGGATGATACTAGGAAATCTAGCGGAATTCTATATTGTCTATTTACAAAATCATTTTCGTTCTACAAGAGAATGTCACTACCACATTCACATACATTCACTATTTATAGTCTTGCTCAAAAATCGCGACAAATCACTCTTTCCTTGGGGCGGAGCGTCCCACCTAGTGGGCGTGGCCGAACACAACAAAAGTTGTCGCTATTTCCGAACTAGGCTCTCGAAAAGCTTGCAGTCACCGAGGAAAAAAGCCGATGAAACATTACTACATAGCGGTAAAGAATGTTAGTAAAATAAATTTCCAAATGACATTCCCCCTATAATGGGACATCATTCGGGAAAAAGGTTGATGAGTTTAGCGCCAGATCCTGGCGACGAGCCAACTAGTGGCGTCGATTTTCTGCTCTGATCAGACCACGACGTGTGAACCAATCGTATTGATTGATCTTTGACGGTTTGGCCTGATCTTGTAACGATTTCCAGCATTGCACTGAATCGGATCGATCCATACATGGACGACGGGGTGATGGCAGAGACGGAGCCAGCCGACGATGCTTGTACGTTGACAACTTCCGAGTCGGGACATTTTGAAGCAGCGCTTTTGAACCTGAAAGGCACAGTTAGATTATTTCAACATCACATCTATTCCCTTTCCTCATTTCCAATATTTTCTCAACAGACAGGTCACTTCCCATGTGAAGGTGGTATTCTTCCAAGTGGTGCACTACCCTACGCATAGTGCAGAGGGTGAATCCCGATCTGACGCCCGTCCGAGCCAACCAAGCAATGCATCCCCTTGGGATGGGCTAAATGCTACCCGACTTATGTGTAAGGGCAAAAGCCAACATGTTTATCGGCTGGCCACCGAAATTTACTGGTCATAGGTGCAGTCAAAGTCAGAAAGCCTACATACCTATTGAAAACGCCGCTACGATTTTAAACGGGAAGCAAGAGTGAGGCGCATCCCAAAACACGTTCGATCAACGCTCGAAGACACCAACCTGAACTTTTAGGGCCATTTCCCAAACCTTTCGCACCACTGTGGCTAAATGGAAGAGTCTACCTCCTCTCTAGGTTTACTGAGCTTACAAGGACCCGACAATACGTAGGTTGCCTTTTATATTTTGAGATTTGAGAACCGAAACAAATACTATTTATTGAAAACCGGTTTACTGCCTTTCAAAAATCTCCACATTAAGATCTATATACTTTTGTATGGGCTCGAACCAATTTTCGAAGCACTTTTGCCACTCTGATGTAGGTAACTCTAAAACATGGATTCTGAACGCATCAACGGCTTCTTCAGGTGTCGAAAAACGTTGACTTCCCATTTTATTTTTTANCCCGTTAACGGATTGATCAACGCCCGAAAACTTTATCCTTCCATCCTTTATCCTTTTGTAGTTGAACTACACGGGAACATCAACTACTAGAAGTCTTAAGTAGTTTATGGAGATCTATACATAGAAGCAAGAAGCAAAGTAACACCAAACCATTTTCAGGGTGTACGTAATGATTTATGAGGTGATGTTCCTCATCAATTTATTCACTTTTTTAATCTATTCAATCACTTGTGTAAGGAGGAGGGCATTTGGAGGTAGAAATCGAAGATCATGCAATAAAAGTCCAAAGGTAATAACTCTATTTTGTAATCCATTTTTTTGTACCTTTTTTGGGGTGAAAATGTAGTTGGGGAGTGCCAGCGCCCTTTCGTGCTCTGCGTCTCTGACACCAGGCGGCAGAGTGCATAGAGACCGCGCTAGAGCCAAGAGATGGTTTCGTTCCCTTCTAAAAGTTATGTGAGGAGCTCCGCGGTGGGAGAGGAGATTATCTCGTGCAAAAAGCGGGGATGGGGTAAGAATCGAACATCCAACGGTTTACCCACCCCGGAGCTGCTTCCCTAACTTTTAGAAGAGGAGGGAACCATCTCTGCGCTCTAACACGGTCTCTATGCTCTCTGCCGCCTGGTGTCAGGGACACAGAGCACAAAAAGGCGCTGGCACCCTCAACTATATTTTCACCGAACAAAATTAGTAAAATATTGAAATTCCAGGTAGATCGACGATCAAAAATGGAATCAATACAGCGGCCGGTATCGCTTTTTTCTTTCGTAGAGTCAACTTCTACTTCATGAATTACTTACCTTTTTAAATATGAGCTACACTGTTAAGCCGAGAAGCAGAAGCCGTAAACGTTCCAAGCAACTACAAAAAGAACAAGAAGAAAAAGAAAAAGAAAAACAAAAACAACTACAACAACTACAACAGCGGCAAAAACAAAAGCAACGAACTCAGGCTGTACGTAGGGCAAAAACTAACAAGGACTCGAAGGAAACTGTTACTGGGGTAGGTCATGCTACCATTTCGATCGCTATATTTATGGATAGCAGGTCGAAAAAGATGTAACGGCATGGGAAGCTCGCTATCACCTGCATGGCCCTGGGATAAACGGACCGCCCGGGAGATTGGAAGGCTTGGTTTTCCTAGGCAGGTAACAATCCAACTCGGATCGATGTTGGCCCACGTCAACCAAGCCTTCCATGCTTTGAGGAAAGGATGGTCATGACTTTATAGTCGCCTTCAAACGTCACCACGATTCTGAAGGGAAGCTCAGTGGGGAGCCTCCTATTTGGAGCCTTCGAGAGTCCTCAAGGAAGCCTAGGATGTAGAGCCAACAGTGCGAAAATGATGATGGCCCTTTTCATTTTCCCGTGTGGGGTCAGTATCTCACCCATGTCATTGCTATTCCACTCCTCGGGCTTATTGCTAGACAAACAACTCCATTCCTTTGGCTCTTAATCGTTTTCTCACAGCGCGACAGGCCCGCAAAGCCAGTGTCCCACCACACTTCTCTGCGCTCTAGCCCTAAGCGTTAGGGATGCAGAGCACAGTGAAGTGGTCCTTTCCAATTGAAGTACATTTTCACCAGCTTCTTCCCCTCTTATGGCTAATTTGATAAAAACAAATCCACCATCTCTTGATGGCTTAATTCGTGGAATTCTAGTCAATAGTGCAACTTTTCGCAGCGCCCCAATCAAACTCCCCCAAGCTCCCGGAGGATCGTTGGTGCCAGAAAATGCGAGTGTTTGTAGGAGTTACGACCGATATTTCCAGATGGATGAAGGCGGATACGAAGTATGTCCAGATATGACACCATCACAATTGGAAAGAGCTAAAAACATGGATGATGGCGCAGCTTGTAATCAGTTAATGACGGTATTGTAAGAACGTCGATTCGTCGTTGAGCATGTTCACTCTAATGCCATTGGATACTTCATTTTCATCAATGCTGTATCAATTCTCATAGCATCTATATAAATTCTTGAAGTGCAGTGTTTTTCCGCTCATTGAACTCCTTAAATCAAAGTCTTC